ATCATGAACTTAGTACCTGATAGTATTTTGCATGTCTATGTTGTTGTAGATAGATGACCCATGTTGTTGTTCCATTGAATTTTAATGTGTTCCTAGAGAAAGCTAAGTTGAAATATGATGGCAGAAACTACACGGACTGGGTCCGTAAGTTGAGGATTATCCTCATTGCTGCATAGAAGAATTACGTCCTGGAAGCACCGCTAGGTGTCAAACCCGCTGCAGGAGCAATGCAAGATGTTGTGAACACCTGGCAGAGCAAAGCTGACGACTACTCGATAGTTTAGTGTGCCATGCTTTATGGCTTAGAACCGGGACTTCAATGACGTTTTGAACGTCATGGAGCATATGAGATGTTTCAGGAGTTGAAGTTAATATTTTAACCAAATGCCCCGATTGAGAGATATGAAGTCTCCAATAAGTTCTACAGTTGCAAAATGGAGGAGAATAGTTTTGTTAGTGAACATATACTTAGAATGTCTGGGTACCACAACCACTTGACTCAACTGGGAGTTAATCTTCCTGATGATAGTGTCATTGACAGAGTTCTTCAATCACTACCACCAAGCTACAAGAGCTTCGTGATGAACTATAATATGCAAGGGATGGATACAATTTCTGAGCTCTTCACAATGCTAAAGGCTGTGGAGGTAGAAATTAAGAAGGAGCATCAAGTGTTGATGGTTAAAAAGACCACGAGTTTCAAGAAAAGGGGTAAAGGGAAGAAGGGGAACTTCAAGAAGAACAGCAAGCAAGTTGCTGCTCAAGTGAAGAAGCCCAAGTCTGGACCTAAGCCTGAGACTGAGTGCTTCTACTGCAAAGGGACTGGTCACTGGAAGAGGAACTGCCCCAAGTATTTGGCGGAGAATAAGGATGGCAAAGTGAAAGGTATATTTGATATACATGTTATTGATGTGTACCTTACTAATGCTCGCAATAGCGCCTGGGTATTTGATACTGGTTCCGTTGCTAATACTTGCAACTCGAAACAGGGGCTACGGATTAAGTGAATATTGGCTAAGGACGAGGTGACGATGCACGTGGGAAATAGTTCTAAAGTCGATGTGATCGTCGTCGGCACGCTACCTCTACACCTACCTTCGGGATTAGTTTTAGACCTAAATAATTGCTATTTGGTGCCAGCGTTGAGCATGAACATTATATCTGGATCTTGTTTGATGCGAGACGGTTATTCATTTAAATTAGAGAATAATGGTTTTTCTATTTATATGAATAATATCTTTTATGGTCATGCATCCTTGATGAGTGGTCTGTTTTTACTAAATCTTGATAGTAGTGATACACATATTCATAGTATTGAAGCCAAAAGATATAGGTTTAATAATGATAGCGCAACTTATTTGTGGCACTGCCTTTAGGTCATATTGGTATAAAGCGCATGAAGAAACTCCATGCTGATGGACTTTCAGAATCACTTGATTATGAATCACTTGATGCTTGCGAACCATGCCTCATGGGCAAGATGACTAAGACTCCGTTCTCTGGAACAACGGAGCGAGCAACAGACTTGTTGGAAATAATACATACTGATGTATGCGGTCCGATGAGTGTTGATGCTCGCGGCGGGTATCGATGTTTTGTCTATGTATTCACACATGTATCAAGGTTTCCGATCAATACAATTCTAGCATGAATAATAAACATTTATGATGAATAAGGAAATATAAAATTATAACTTTATTATTGCCTCTAGGGCATGTTTCCTTCACCCGGGTCTTTTGGTCCAGAAAAATTCTCCAAAAAGTTTCACTATGTTTGCACTCCGTTTGGTATTGATTTTCTGCGATGTAAAAAACAAGCAAAAAACAACAACTGGCACTGGGCACTATGTCAATGGGTTAGTCCCAAAAATTGATATGAAGTCTCTATAAAATGATTGTAAAACATCCAAGAATGATAATATAACAGCATGGAACAATCAAAAATTATAGATACGTTGAAGACGTATCAGGCACAGAGAAGACCAGCCCTGCCGACCTTGGAGGACTGGGCATCATCGACCTCGTTAAGTTTGCCAGGGCACTAAGACTTAGGTGGCTTTGGTTCGAATGGAAGCATCTGACGAAAATGTGGGTTGGTTTGTGAAACTCTTGCGACGAGTTAGACCGGGATCTCTTCTACGCGTCCACACACATTACCATTGGTAATGGGTCCCGTGCACCATTAGGGGACTCGTCTTGGATTAATGGGGAAAGGCCTATTGACATAGCACAACTCATTTTTTTGGTTTCCTCTATGGAAAGTTCGAAGATGAGGGAGGCCATGCAAGGCGATGCTTGGCTTGCCAAGATCAAGCTTCCCACAGACCGGACGATGGACCACTCATGACAAATTGTGAACCTTTGGGCTCAGTCTCGTGCAATTCACCTTGTGGACAGCACCGAGGATGACATCATTTGGAAGCACACGGTATGCGGGCACTACTCCACCACTTATGCATACAAAGCTCAATTCCTCTACACCATTCGCTCACCCATGAGCTATGCGGTTTGGAATGTTTGGGCGTCTTCAAATGTCTTTTTTTGGCTTGCAATTTAAAACCGGATTTGGATGGTGGATAGGCTTCAAAGGTGCGGATGGACAAATTGTGTGCTATGTCCTCTTTGTCAACAAACCGGGGAATCGGTGGACCACCTCTTTTTCAAGTGTCGATTTAGTAGGAGGCTTCGGAGTGTGATCAAGGCTTGGCTCAACCTCGACGACTTTGACACTTCTCATTGGACTCTGGAGCGTTCCATGAAGGATTGGTGGATCAATATGTCCAACAAGAATGCGACAAACCGTAAGACGATGATGTCCCTCACCATGCTTGTTGGACAATTTGGTGTGAGGGAAATGTAAGGGTGTTTCAACACAAATCCATGCTCCCGTCTATCATTCTCTCCAACAACAAGAACGAGGCAACACTTTGGGTCACCGCCGGCGCGAAGCACTTGGGGAACATCATGCCACGAGAGTAGAGGCCTTGTAATTTTCTTTCGCTTTTGTTTGTAAAATATTTTTCAATTAATGGATGAGGCAAATATTTTGCCTCTGTTTAAACAAACATATTTAATGTTTCAAAAATTTCTAAAAAAATTGTGAATGTTCAAAAGACGTGTGTATAAAACCTAAAAAGTTCAAGTCCAAACTCCAAATATACATGAAGATACAAAAAAGACAAATTTAGCATGAATAGTGTCAAAAGGGACAAAAGCAAAAAATGACATTATTCACATGTGGATTTGTCTTCTTTGTATCTCCATGTATATATTAAATTTAGATCTGAAAATTTTAGGGGTAGTAGACATGTCTTTTGACCATTCACAATTTTTCTGATGTAAAATTAAATTTTACGGCATGGTATCATATGATGGTTGGTACCAGAGGATATTTCCCCGTATAGCGGGACTAGTGCTACCGTGCTAAAACACAGGCTCTTTCCCTGGAAGAGGATTTGTAGCTCTCGGGTGCCACACATCCCTATATGAATATAGCATTAAAATGCATATTAGGAAATTTCAAAAAAAAAATGAAATTTTGGGATATGAAACTTGGGTACCTGTTGTACAGACTTGTCTAGTTTCGTGAGGAATGGGTGCCCGTGATAATGTCAGTAAAAAAGACAAAAAAAGAACGTATGTGTAGAAAAAAACTGGGTGTAACGTATGTCGGTTCGTAATTCTTGCGCCGCGGATACCACAGGCACCCAGTCCCCATGAAAATGAAGACGGGTGTACAATGGGCACTCATGTTTCGTATCCCAAAATTTCAAAAATAATAATTGAAATTTCCTGAAATTTTCTCTTTTTTCTGATGGGAAGGTTTACTTTATTAATCAAAGGATGGATATATCGTCTGCCAGCAGACTCGCAATGAAATCAGGTGTGGCATCAATCCAACGAGATGGATTATTAACACGTCCCCATCTAGCCAGCTCATGAGCTACATAATTTGACTCTCTAATACAATGCTCAATAGTAAACCTTTCGAAATCTACTAGATAACTACGACATTCATCAAGAACCGGCGCTGCCGCCGTGATATTATTCGATCATAGTAAAAAAACAAGCAAAAAAACAAGATAACTACGACATTGAATCTACTAGATAACTACGACATTCATCAAGAACCGGCGCTGCCACCATAGAATAACTTTCATTGAATCTAAATACATCCACCACCGTGATATTATCCGATCTCACCACCAAATTATTGCATCCCGTATCTCTTGCTAGCTTCAGTCCTTTAAGCAGAGCTGCCGCTTCTACCGTGAAATTTCCTGATATTTTCTTAATGCTACTTTCATATAGGATGTGTGGCACCCGGGAGCTCCTGTATATTTTCCCCTCTTTCCCTCTGCTACCGATATCCACGTTCACGACTCCTCCTTTTATAGCAGTGCATGGATGTTGCCTGCCGTACATCAGCATAACATCTATAGACAATTCCAACGCTTGAGCTTTATTTTGTCATTGTGCGCAGAGATAGACTCGCAACTTTGGCTTCTTTGCATAGTCATATTTTTGGCTTAACTCATGTTCTTGCCTTATTATGCATATACTCACATTTTTGGCTGAACTCATATTGCTGGCTTCTTATATGCATGCGGATTGTTTGTGCTTTGTTCATGTGTTTTATTCATACAGAGTTGATCGTCCAAATTCCAGCGAGTACATTTATAGGACAGATTAACGTGCTCTTTATTTCCAGACTAGAATGACATTCATTCTTAACAGGAGGCAAAATGACGAAGCACATAGCTTAAGCCTTTCTTATGTGTGCAGATGGAAGACGCAATAGTGAACAATGCTCAACACAAGCAATAGTAAATGGGGGAATCAACGATGGTTGTGCGAGTAATCTTGATCGCCCCGTATTCAAATGCCAACAGAAACAAGGTTATAATCCATAGAAGATGTTGCTTGTCTAATCAGTGGCATGTCTCTTAGTGAATTGAGTTTATTCCATGGAGGGGCCCAGGAGCGGTTCTATGCCGAAATTCAGACGCGGACACCGTATTCAGATATACGGTTCACCCTTTCTTCCAGGACATGTCTCCGGTTTTTCAAACCAGAGGCCATGGAAGCCACCTGAAAGATGAAAAGAGCATGCTAAGTTGAAAGCAACTTTTCATAATAGTCAGTGAATAAGTTTTTTTTACATAAGAGTTATTTCACTTGCCTCTGCTCGCAATTCAAGAGACTGTCTTGTAGGAATAATTCTTAGTTGATCCATCAAACCTAGGGCCCCAAGAACAATATGGAACAAATTTAATAAAGATACAGTCAAATGATGTGTATAGGCTCTTATTTACACATACATTGTTTCAAAGTTTTCCATACTAAAAGGACCATCAATCTTTGAAGAAGAATTCAATACCTGCAGCTGTGGATTCTGCTTTGTAAATAGATCTTATAACGGACTGGATTTGCTTACCAGTAGATCTGCAAAATTCATGAGCATAACATTTAGATGTAGATTATTCTCAAGTATGGCGTTGTTCAAGGAAATGACAGAAGATGATTAGAAAAGCACCACATGTGTACTACCTCAAATCAGTTCGGCCACGCTGCAGATCACTTTCACCAATGACTACTTTGTCCAGGGTGTATTTGGAATCCTTTCTCAAGCTCTCAATAGATGTTTTGTATTCGATCATACTTTGTTCAACATCATTCAGTAAATCCTACAAAAATTATATGTGAGGACATCATCATATACATCCGTGAAGGAAAAGAATGTATGCATGTCATGGTTCTCATCTTTATGACCATGTTAGACAAGGTTGGTTACCGAATAACTGAAACTCAGTCATGACTATGAAAACAGAAAGCATTTTTCAGCATGAGTACTTGGAGAAACCACTGTTACATGATTCAACCGTAACGAGATAAACGAATATTCAGAAGTACTGAACAAACGAAACCTAATATGTTACAGATGTACAATAAAATTTAAATTAGCATAATCAGAGTTGCGGGCACTGTACCTTCTCAGTTTTAAAACGACCCAGAGTATTGCGGTATAAAAATCTCCGAGGGCCTGATGGTACAACATTCATTAGCTTTGAGACAAAAGAAACCATTGTTCTATCAAGAAAACAACCATATTTCAGTTGAAATAGGGAGAGGGCCACTTTTGAGTTATTTCTTGTTAAGTTGTAAGAGGGATACACTTGCAATGTGCACCACCTTTATATGTAACTGCACAATCCTAATAAATCTAGTGCACAATCAACACAATTAAACCCAAACCTCAGCCCACTTGTTAATCTGCATAGCATTCACAAACCCCAAGTTCTGCTTTGGCTTTTCTTGTATTGCTTGATCCTCGATCATTGGTAAGGGCACTGTGATCTGTTTAGTTATGTTACCATAAATGTATCAGTATTGCGGCAACATGACTAAAGGGATATGCCTTTTTCCCAAAATGCTGATCTGGGATATGCTTAACTCTAAAAATGAATAGCAAAATCATGTGGCATAGCTGGACATGAAATGCCAGTTGTTTAGGGTCAGTGGTCTGCAGGAGGAACAGTGGGTGAGACGTTGGGATGGTGAAAGGAATTCAATACAAGCTTGTCACAGGCTGGGGTGGGACTGGAAGTCAGGACAGAGGAGGCAAGAGAATCAGGTCAAAGAACTATGGGAGAGGGCCGGACATTATACTCCAACACTCCCCTCACGTCTATGCTCCTTTGTAGTTTATGACGTGGGCAGCGGAAGCGGGGGCAGGCCGCAATTATTTACTGCGTTTACTGGGCTTTGAACCCTGAACCTCTTGGTTGCAAGTTTATGCACCTAACTAGTTCACCCATCAGTCCGAACTGGTGGAGAGAGGCGGGCAATATATTTCAACACTCCCTCTCGCATCTAGGCTTATTTAGTCCTTAGACGTGGGATTGATGTAGGCCGCAGAATCTTTTTATTTTAATACTCCGTTGGCAGGTTCTTGAACTCAAGACCTCTTGTCTCGGATACCATATTGAATTCATGCTCCAGCCAGTTGCTCCAAAAGTCTGAACTGACGAAAAGGGCCGGGCATTATACTCCAACATTAGATAATCCTTATTTGACTAGGCCGCATCCACTTGTATCCAATATGCATCTAATTTGCGTGCCTTTATTTTAAATTTTAATTCTCCCGATACTGGTTGGATAAATATCAAACGCGTATCGGTACCGGACACGTATCCAATGCGGATATAAAAGCTTTGCAAGTGGTATCGGCGTTTCATAGGTGGGAAGAGAACATCGACCACTTCACTGGATCAGCGCCAAATACAGGACCCCTTGACATGCAACTTATGCGCAAGGGTTTGTCAAAAGTTATTTTTATAAGTAAAATATCCGTTAGCAGATGATGCTACTAAGTACCCCCTCTGTAAACTTTAGTGATCTAAAAGGTCTTGTATTCGTTTACAGAGGAAGTACTTGAGTAAATGACATGTGATTAAAATGCATCATCAGCTGTTTAATAAGTAATAATTTAGTCATTTCTCATGAAAGTTTCACCTACACTAAGTTCAATGGCAACTGATCATTTGTGAATCTTCAAACGCATGATGAGTCTTAGGCTAAGATTATAAATGGTAGCTAGACTACATGAAAAAAAAAAGATTTTTCTTATGTATCTGGTGGCCAAACTCAAAGAAGATCTCCCAAGTACCATTTTCCGGGTTTGCATCCCAACAGGGAATTAGCAAACCAAGAAAAACCAAACAAGATAGAACCTGATACACCTAGCTTGGCTTGATTCAAGCTTGGATCAGCTCAGGTTTGTAATCAGATAAAGATATATCGAAGCACCCCTCAGACGGAAAGGTATGCATACATATAGTGCATGTGCATAACCTCTGGCACCAAACTATAATCACTGGTAGGATTTAAGAACTTTAACGCGGCATGAATACTGCCTACACTCCAATAAATAAGATACTACATCGAAACAATGGAGCTTTTTTATAGGCAGGTGCTAAAAGAGAACTTCTGAAGCCTCCAAAGAAGAGATAATTCTTCACTAAAATTGTAATTGGTCTAGGAAATGACATAAGTTGTATTTCAGTCAAAAAATAAAGAAGAAAACAACTGCAATTGCAACTGCAATAAATGTTCATTAAGACTAACCATTAACCCGGAATAGACATGAGCGAGCATGCATCAAATTCACAGGTTTTGCGACATCAACTCTAAAAGCGAAATATATCCGATGATCTGACCTGTTAGCTCCTGAATAGTATTTCTCAGGTCAAAATCAGTTTAAACATTTCTGAACAACCGGATAGATATATGGAACAAGACAAATGGAAAGAAACTTGGCAGCCTGTTGATGGATCATGTTCTCCGGTTTCAGGATTTGTGAAACTATATAGTTTTCCTTCAATCCCTAATTCGTACCGATGAATCCCATTTCTTGTCTATGCGCGTATTCAAAGACATGACATAACCAAGTTTGTGTCCTAATATATACTCCCTCCGTCCGCGAATAAGTGTACATCTACCTTTTATTCTAAGTCAAAGTTTTAAAATTTTGACCAAGTTTATAGAAAATAGTAGTAACATATATGACATCAAATTGATATATTATCAAAGTACATTTCAAAACGAATCTAGTGATACTAATTTGGTGCCATAAATGCTTTTAGTTTTTCCTAGAAAGGTGGTCAAAGTATTAAAACTTTGACATAAGACAAAAGCTAGATGTACACTCATTCACGGACGGAGGGAGTAACATTCTGAAATCACCCTTAAAAGGAACCACACGGTTTGAGCTGATAAATTAATTTGCAAACTGTCTTGCATAACATTAGAACACTTGAAATATACCTCTGAACAAGATGAACCCTGCGACAGTGGCACATCCAATTGCCTCCGCTTGATGCTTGCTCGCAAGAACCAGTGCATCCGAAATAGTAACTAAAATGGAAATAAAACCAAGTATTGATTGCGGAACCATCATAGTGAGACAAATACACCCAATGAGGAGGAGGGGCGGGGGCTAGATCTTGCCTTTAGCCCTCTCGACAAACACATCCTCGTAGGCTTTGTACTGTGACCACAGCCCTGGCGCAAAGCTCTACAAATGCAAGCAGAAAGAGGGTTAGTGCGGCAGGAAAAAAAGGGAAATTTAGGAGTAAATAAATAAATAGAAATACCATCTCGGTTTAGCCAATAAAAATGTGTAGCCGATGCGAGTGCAGCTATACAAGCATCGCGTGCAAAAGGAATGAGAGTCAAATATAAAATCGTTCGGGGACGAGACCAGCATGCATCAAGGCATAGGTTTTCTAACCCCAAAAATGGAATAGGAAGAGCTTGGTAATTTTTGCCATCGAATCCCAACCGAAGAACACAAATTCACGCACACCATCTTAAAGACGGATTCGATTCAGTTATACACGTGATTCCATGCAACCTGATATCACATCTGAGATAAAGAAGGGCACTCAGAAACACGCGAATCCGCCCAAGATTTGTAAAGAGGCATTGCAAGTTTCTGTAAGATTACGGGGCGGGAAGGGGTCGAGACCTGGAGCTTGCGGAGAGGCCAGGGGGAGGCGGAGGCGGAGGCGGCTTCCGCGCCTTGCGCCGGCGTGCGGCCGGTGTCCGATGACGCCATCGACTGGGCTCCCGCAGTTTCTCCGGCGACCGTGCGTTCGCGGATCTCTCGGGCTTTCTCTCTCTCTCTCTCTCCTCTTCGCCTCCTTGGGCGTTCTCTTCCCTTCTTCGGGTAGTGCTATTTTAGGCCCGTTCGATCGTAGCCCGAGAAGAGTTTTTTTTTCTTGAACGGTGGGCCGAGAAGAGTTTCAAATATTGCGTTGAAGCCTTGAACAAAAACAAAAGCGGGGTATGCATGGCCCGGTCCGTTCATGCCACGCGCCTCTCTATCTTATATAAAAGAAAAAAGAAGAAGAAAAAAAAAGGTAAGGCAGTCGACTATGTCGCAACAAGGATCCTAAGAAGAAGCCGCTCCCTCTATTCACAAATATAAGATATTTACAAAAAAAATTGAATCAAATGTATATAGATATATTTCAGTGTATTTGTTCGCTCATTTCAGACTGTATGTACTCCATATTTAAATATTTAAAATATATATATTTATGAACAAAGGAAATACTTGTACTTTTTTAGAAATGATGAGAGCAAATAGTTAGAGGGTGCCCGAACCTGAGTGAACTTTCTGAGGCACCCACGGGCGTGGAAGCTTGCCAGGTGACAAGCCCTCGTGGTGAGCAAGACGATATGAGGAAGTGTGCATGATTTTTTTCCCTGGTTTTCCTTGTTTTTTAAGGAGGGTCCATTTTTTTGGATTTGTGAAAAAAAAAGGTTTTTCTAGTTTTTTGGGTTATCTTAGCTCTTTTTCTTGTGCACAGGCATGCTCCCGCGGGCAGCACAGATGTGCTCTCGTGAGAGCACATGTTAATTCATGGTGTGTTTCTTGTGGGAAGACAAGTTTATTCATATTCACACCACGGATTAATGCTAGTTGCGAGTACTTGTTAATTCTCATTGGAAGAGTAAGTTATGTCAAAAAAGGTTTATCAAATATATCAACACGAAATCTAATTTGATGGTTTCAACGTGAGAAAGGCAACGTTGAAATGGTTCATGATGAGATCATGAGATATTTCTTCTTAAAAATGGATCTATAGAAGAAAAAAGCATGCACCAATCCTCAAATTCGTTCCGCGCGTGGAAGAAAAATCCACCAAAACATCCCCTGAAGGTGACAAATGGCACATATTCATTACGCCACTTGTCATCACCAAAGGCGTTTCACGGTAACTTTGCAACGAACATCCCTTAACTAGTGATTTTCCATGAAGGATGTATTGCTGATTCCTGATTGCATACATATCACACGCGGTTGCCTAGCGTCCGAAGTGGGTTAGCATATTAAGAGCATTGAGGCGCATTGTTTGCTATTGAGCACTTTTGGAAGGTTAAGCCCGGTCTTGGGAACATTTGGGTTCTTTTTCTTTGTCATGCCAGTGTTTTTCACTATTGATTTTACGCTTTCCTTTTATTTTATTTTTTATTTTTATTTTTACTTTATTAATGTTTTTCCGTTCATGGACATTTTTTGAAGTTTGAGAGCATTTTTAAATTTGTGAATATATTCTAAAATTCACAAATATTTTTTCATTCGTGAATATTTAGAAAATAGTGAATTTTTAATTTATGAATATTTTTCAAAATTTTAATATTTATAAAATTCATGAAAAAATATAAATTAAAAAAATTATGAATTGTTTAACATTTTCTGAACATTCTTAAAATTCTTGAACATCAAATTACTGGAAATAGAATTAAAATTCATGTTTTTCTTTCAAAATCATAAATACATTTTAAATCTGTGAATATTTTAAAATTTCTAAACATTTTAAAATTCAAGATGTTTTATAGAGTTAGTAAAAAATCTTGAATATAAAAAGAGGGGGGAAGTGACAAACAACTAGCAAGGCTAGCCAGATTGGCGGGCTGGCGCAACAGGTGAGCCGACGTAAGCGAGCGCTCGTTATGCACGCCGGGCCTGGCCCATTTAACGGGTGCTAAGTGTCAGCGGTCCTTCCATGAGGTTGACTCGAGGCTATACATTTTTTCTCAAAAAAAAAAAGACTATAGGCGATACATCCCCTAAAAAAAAGAGTATAGGCGATACATATTAGCATGCGAACCAACCCATGCTTGAATGGTTAGAGGGATTATGGTATCCCCAGCCCATCAGGGTTCAAATCCTGGTGCTCGCATTTATTCTTAAATTTATGTCAGGATTTCAGGCAATGCGCATTTAGTGGGATGAGACATTCCCGTCGATGACGAGGTTCCTACGATGACTTTGTAAGTTTCAAGATGATATGTCCGCTCAGTCTTTCGGAGGTGCTCATAGGGGTAGGGTGTGCGTATGTGCGTTCATATGAATGAGTGCATGCACGTGTGTATGAGCGCTTGCTTCTATATTCTGTTCAAAAGAAAAGCACCGCCCGCCTATCAGGCATAGTTAATACTTTTCAATTCATTTAAAACAAATGCTAATTCCAAACAAAAATTTAGGGCGCAGTTTTTCCTACAGAAAGGATTCTTCATGGTCTATATTATTTTTCTCTCTAGGCCCCGCTTGGTGGCTTTGTAACATTTTCCGCATGTACATCTATAAAAACAATAATTTCCAAAGTAGAATTTTTGAATGAAAACTAGGAAAATGATACACAAATTAAACCTCGAAGGAATAAGATCTAGTTATCCAAGAATGAGGCACTTCATTTCAAAAAAAAAAAGAACGAGACACTTGATACCCAGTTTAAGGGAACAATAAATTTAAACTCAAGGCTCATGAATCAATGGAGATCGACTCATTGTTAGGTTCAACTCAAGAGCGACTCAAAAAGAAATGAGCTAAAAATAAGCGTCTATGTAACTTAATAAAAAAGATGATTTTGTGCAAACACTACACACTTAAATTTAGCACGACAACCTGACATACTATATTTATGTATAATGATCTTATTTTTATATTGAAAATAACATCATAATTAATTGTCATATATGTTATGTACATGCTTTTATTCTTTTATCTATAAGAAAACTTAGAATATTAATTAAGTGCATAGCAAATTTACGCATGGATATGCTACATGGTCATGCCCTATGCTAAAGGGCGGTACTACAAATCATCCGGATGATTTGTGTAAAAAATAAGCCGCCTCCACAGCCGTCCAATTAGACGCTCTGCAGCCCTATGATCAGCCAGCTCCCATGGGCAGCACCACTCAGCGCAGCAGCTCGATGGCAACACCTCGCAGCACCGTCTGGCGGCAAAGCTCCAACGACCCCCGCGGCGCCTCACTGCAGCTCCGGCGGTGCCCGGCGGCGCTTCATTGCAATCTCGCCGGAGCTCCAATGGCCCCCGCGCGCCTCACTGCAGCTTCGGCGGTGCTTCACTACAGCTCCGATGGCGCCCTCCTGCGCTTCATTGCAACCTCGCCGGAGCTCCACGACTCTGCACTGCACCTCTGGCAACGCCCGGTGGCACTTCATTGCAACCTCGCCAGAGCTCCATGACCCTCACGGTGCTTTACTGCAGCTCCGGCGGTGCTTCATCGCAACACGAACGGCATCCGGTGAGCTCCATTATAGCCCCGCGCGGTGCTCCAACGCAATGCTGCGGCGTCCAGCAAGCTCCATTGTAGCCCTGACGGAGCTCCATTGCAACTCCGGCCGAGCTCCATTGCAGCCTGGTGGAGCTCCAACGCAGCACCAACGCTCCGGCGAAGCAGCTCCGGCCGAGCTCCACTGCAGCACCGACGGCTCCGGCGAAGCTCCATTGCACCTTGGGCGGAGCTTCAACGCAGCACAGGCGCGTCCGCGAAGCTCCATTGCAACTCCGACGAGGTTTCATTGCAGTGCCGACTATGCTTCCGGCGGCCCGTTGCTCTGACAGCTTCAAAGGCAACATCACCGGAGTTGCGTCCGCCACCACGGTCACCATCATAGCACTGTGCGACGCTCCATTGCAGCTCACGAAGAAATCCATGGCAGGCGGTGGGCGACGTAGAAGCTACTCATGTTTCAAGTTGTTCGGTGCGGAGCACCGACTGCCTCCGTCGCAGACGACCATGGCGACACTCCTCTCTCCTCACGAAGGCTTTTGGTGGCGGGGGCTTGCAGTGTCCCTCAAACGGGACCGAGGGAAGGGGGAGGAGGGGGAGAAGTCTCCGACAGCGGCGACGACCGGCTCTGCTTCGTCCTCGGTGATCTGTATCAGAGAGACGAGAGGGAGAGAGAGACGCTCGAGAGGGAGACGCTGATTGAGGAGACATGGAGAGGGGGTGGAGAGGATAAGGTTGGGTTGATGCGGTGGGCAGGCCCACTAGGGCATGTGTCGATCGGAGGAGCAGGTTTACGAGAGAGAGATCATCCAATTTTTTTGAAAGATCCAGCAAATTGCTGGCATTCATATATTAAGCAGGAAGTAGCGGAAAAGTTAAACATGGGGGGGGGGGTCCAAGGATCAAGAGAAAAAATACATAAAAAGGGAAAGAAAAGGCACAACAAACCGTTTGGGTGTGTGCTACAACTTAGCCGATTCCTGATGGTGGCTCTGCAAAAGGTTGTGCTAGGCACTAGGCTCCTACTTACCGCCACAACTCAATGCTACGCCTAATCGCAGCCAGAATGTCGGCCCTCTGAGCCACTTTGCCTCTGAAAGTGCAGTGGTGTCGCTCCAACCAGATTTCCCAGAGCACGAGCATGACAATGGCCGTGATGCCCTTCATGCTTCCCTTCGCGGTGTTGCCGGTGATCATCTCAACGATGTCTGTTGAGCATTGAAGGGAGGACCACAGTCCTGGGTGCATGATACGTCTCCAACGTATCTATAATTTTTTTGTTCCATGCTATATTATATTTTATTTTGGACATTATTGGGCTTTATTATGCACTTTTATATTATTTTTGGGACTAACCTATTAACCAGAGGCCCATCCCAGAATTGCTGTTTTTTTTGCCTATTTTAGGGTTTCGCGGGAAAAGAATATCAAACGGAGTCCAAAAGGAATGAAACCTTCGGGAACGTGATTTTCAGAACGAACATGATCCAGAGGACTTGGACCCTAC